CAGGTCTACATTCATAAACAACTACTTCTGCCTTCTTTTTTAAAGTTTACTTTATTGATGTTTTGCCTGCATGCGTGTCTGTGTGAGAGTGTTGAATCCCCTGGAACTAGAGTTACAGACAGTTGTGAGCCACCATGTGGGTGCTAGCAATTGAACCCTGGTCCTTGGGAACAGCAGCCAGTGCTGAGCCATCTCTCCAGCTTTCCAGGTGCGCTTGTCTGCCCTTTGTAATCAAGGACCAGAACTGTGCTCTTCAGTCAGGATCATGGCCAGTGTGGCTATTTACGCAGAAATACTTGGATTCCCAGCACTTCATAAACTGGGCATGGTGGTGAATTCTTGCAGTCCCAGAATTTAAGAGGTGGAAGCAATTGGATCAGAAGGTCAAGGTCATCCTGGGCTTTATAGTGAATTTGAGGTTAACTTGAGATATGGGAGACCCTGTCTCAAAACCAACCAGTCAATAAATAAACGTCTCTGAAATGAAGAAGAGTCCAGCTCCTTAGTGTCCTGTGCCCTGTGTTGCCCCTCCCCCTTCAGGTTGCTCAGTGGCACACTTAGAATGTAGCCATCACTGTAAAAAGTTGTGTCAGATAGCCCGTTGTGACTTGGCTAGTTGTAGAGATCAAGCTGAGTGAGGCTTGAGCTGCTAGACTGCTAGGTGAAGTCTATTAAACAGCTCCCCCTTCAGTGCTAGCGAATGTGAGGAGCTTAAGTTTGAAGCAGCCAAGGAAGGGCTTCTCTGATATACTTTTCTTTTACACGAGTCTTTGGCCATCCTGTTTCTGGACGGGGGTCCACAGCGGGTAGTCCAGGTAGGGCCCTTATGTAGTTTTTCACAGGAACATAAAATACTGAACTAAACACCTGAGTCGGATAGTACAGAAACCCCAGTTTTCTGGCAAACTGTGAGCTCCTTTCCAGCTGGGGTAGAGGCTCAGGGAGGTCAGGATGCAGGTGGTCCACAGTGTTCCAAGGACTGGGGCTGAATGATACTCATATGACACTACAGATCAGAAGGCTTTTCTGTCCAGGCATCTTATGTGGTCTGTTAGGAAGGCCAGATACTTGTCCTCAGCTGTCCAGCTAAGTCTTGTGACACTAGGGTCTAGCCTTGCAATGTCCTGGGTTCTGAACAGTGTTTCTCAGTCTCTCCTGGCCTGTATTTTGAGAATGTGAGCTTTAGTGAGAACAATCCCTTGGTAAGTGTTCATCTGGGGTATGTATGTCTTCTTTCTCCTCCGGTAAGTTGCTCCATTCAGCTAATATTTTATAATGGTGCTTCTGCTAGACGTTAATGCTGTTTTTATAAAACAACCTTGTAACTTTTCATGGTTTTTAAGAAACAATGATTTGTTTGGTCTTGATGGTCCTGTTCCCATTTCAGCAAGCCATGTCCTCCAACCGATGAGCAATTGGTTGCAGGGTAAGACCAAGATCTCTCCCCCCTTTCCTGTCTTGATTCCGGCTGCCTTCTCTTCTTGTAATTGTGCTTCCTGCCTAATTTCTCTCAATGTGGAAGAATGACTAACGAGGTGCATAGGCCCTAGCTTGGAACCCCCCTGCCTTTCAGATCCCAGATCTTCCCACAGCCTCTGCCCTTTTCCCATCTAGAATTATTTAGCTATTTCACATCTCTCGAGAACCTAAAGCATGGTTGGCTGGCACCAGAGAGACTTCTGGACCAGGTGTGCTGTACAGACCTCCTCCCCAAATAGGAGCTAGTGGTCCTGTGATGTTGGACCATCACATACGGGTTTCTCGTTTCCTGTCCTACTGCCACAGCAGGGGCCCATGGTCATTGCTCCTTGCCTTTAGTTTTGAGAGGGAGAGGGATAAATAGAGACAGACAGACAGACACACGGACACTATCAATGGCATTTGAGTATTTGAGTGTTTAGTTAGAGACTCAGGATTAGATGGAACTGAATATACCAAGAAGTGGCAAATATGTCCCCATGAAGGTGATGTGGAGCTTTTGCAGTCTGCACTGTCTTGTCCCCCAACAGGACATCCTGTGTGAGCCGTGGATGTACATACAGCGTGTGTGAGTTTCCATCAATAGGCAGGTTGAGAGGCTGGAGAGAGGGCTCAGTGGTTAAGAACACTTGCTCTTGAGAGGACCTGGGTTCAATTCCCAGCACCCATATGGCAGCTCACAGCTATCTGTAACTTTCGTTTCAGGGGATCCAGTGTCCTCTTCTGGCCTCCATAGACCTCAGGTACACACCTGGTTCACATACATACATGCAGGTGAAAACATTCATACACATTTAAAAAAAAAAAAAAAAGACAAGTTGAAGATGTGGAGTTGAAACCTTTCCAGTCTCTCTCCCTCTGTTTTTGGATAGCCCTACTCCAGAATGATTTATTAAAAATAGAATCCTGGCCTGCTTTTCAACTGTTATATCTTCCTAAATATGCTTTTCTTAGATGTTCAAGTTAGAAATTTTTAGTTTTTATAGTAGCTGTTTTATTATCTTATGTTACATTTACCATGTTCTCACCATCAAAAGGATTTTTGTAAATTTTGGAAATGAAAAACCTTGTCCTTTGTAATTTGCTATGTATAAGTTTTACCTTTTTCTTGGTCTCAAGATGACTTTATCTTTGGGCATATTATGTCATCAAACACTATGTGAAGTCCACAGCCAAGCAAGTGTCTTTTCATCCTAAGTGTGTAATGTTAAGAGGTGGCGTGCAGCTCAGACCTGCTCAGATGAACAGAACCTAGGACAGCTACTTTAGCATCAGCACACACATCTCTGTGCTTTGTAGAGGGGGGCAGATTTGATTTTGCTCCTTCAAGGGCATATTTGGATTTTGGTATTTATGAATGGAAGCTGAGATACCACTGCTTGCCTCTGGGAATCCCATGACCAGAGCTGAGGCATGTCTGTGGCTCTTCATGGCAGTGAGAGTTTTTGGTGGAGATTTTTGGCTATCAAGGCAGAGTTGCTGTGGAGTGGGTTAGATCATTCTCCCATCTGCTACTTTTGTGTATTAAGTCATTGGTTGGTAGAATGTTGGGTGCTGCTTGTTGAGATGTGATATAGAATGTTGCCTGGCTCAGAACCCAAGTGTTTGATAGGGTTTTGATATCCTGATATGTCCTTCAGACAGGTGGAATAGGGCAGAGAGAGGTTGACTTTGAAGAAAACCTGTAATGCCCTTGTCTGAGATGCTGGAGTCTTCCATATCTGTTTAATCACCCCAGACATTAATGTTCCAGGAAAGCAGGAAGTAAGGACTTGGCTATGGGTCCTGCAGGTCCCAGAATGTCAGTGATAAGACTGCTGCTGAAAGGGTTGACCAAGCCCTCGTTGTAAAGGGCCAGGAAGCCCTTTCTGACCCACACTCTGTCTGGTTTATTTGGGGACCCAGAAGCCCTGTGGCTGCTGGAGGATCTTGCTCATTCTGCAGGAGCCAGTATAAGCCCTGCAGGCCGTAGCAGCCTGGAGCTTTCTTGCTGGCATGGGTAGAAGTGGGAGAATTTGCACGGCTGCTTGTCTTACATGTTGACATAGCCAGGCTTCGGAGACAGTTGACTGTCTCCAGGCCGCTTTCCTGTGGCCCTGCTTTGTGTAGGGTGGCCTGGAATGAATGCCCCTCCTAGATACTTTCTATCCCATGTCATTGCTGCTTTGGAGTTGAGCCACATCAGCTCCTTGAAGCTCACCTTCCTTTTCCATCTTACAATGGAGGAGTTATGATGTCAGTCTGTCTCCCTCCTCCCAACTGAGAATGCCTCCAGAAGAAACAAGACTAAGGTCCCACAATGGAATGTCTGTCCCAAATAGTCTCTTTCAGGACTGTAAGGGTCTCTCTGCCCAGGGCAGACTGTGGTCCTGGTAGTGCTGGAGCTGTCTTCCTAAAACCACCCTCCCTAGATGTTAGAAAGCTTTCCTTAGTAGATAGTTAGCATAGGTGCTCTCTCCCTTCAGGACCAGATGAGAAACAGTGCCTGTGTGTCTTCAGTGGAGGCCCTCAGTCCCTGCTCTCTGAGATAAGAGGCAACGCCAGGCCCCTGTGCTCTCCTCCCTGCAGGCAACTCACTTATCCAGATCCCCCAGACAGGGAGGACTAGGTTTGCCAGTAGGGGGAACAGATGTACAGATGCTTAGTGGAAGGGGTGAGATCTCACACCCCAGCCATTCCCACTTCTCCATGACACTTGGTTTCTATGCATCCCATGTTCCTGTAACAGTGCATCTGCATGCTTTGTACAAAATTCCCTCAATAAGAACTGAGAAGTTGAAGTGTTGAGGATAAGGAAGGGCTGGGCAGCTATGCTGAAAAGATGTAGTTAGCATACTGCATGCATCATTGAGCTCTGCCCTCTGGTCCTTTTTGTGGTCCTGTTGTGGAGGGTCTGGGGTCACGGAGGTTGAGAGGTACAGTTCCACAAACCAAAGTACAGTAAGGAGAGGCCCTTCTGCCTGTGAGCCTCTGAGTGGCTCCTGAGGGCAGTGCCAGCCCCAGCTGATCTTCCTTTAAATGCAAACCGCAGCTGTTTCTCTTCTAATTTCATACAGCATGCAATCAATGACAGCATGTGCCTTCAGCCTGTGCTTCTCCTGCCTTCTACCTGTAATTCTGGTGATTTCACATCCCTACCCTTGGGATTGCTGCAAGAGAGCCGCTGATAGACATGCCACCCACTGGGGACAAAGTAGCTCCACAGAACTGTCATTCTTGAGCCACTCCCCCTGTGGGTACTGGGCACGGTGCTGTGATGTTTGTTAATGCATTTCCGTCCTGCCTTTCTAAAATTTGAAGGTTCTCCGATGTTATTCTGGCAACAATTTTGGCAACCAAGTCTGAAATGTGCGGCCAAAAATTTGAACTGAAGATTGATAATGTACGGTTTGTTGGGCACCCAACACTGCTGCAGCATGCTCTGGGGCAGGTATGACCCTCCTCGGCAGGTAGGAGTTTTCTAGGGTGGGTGGGCCTGGCCTCTTCTGTGCTGACATGGATGGTGGTGAATGGGCCACTGGGGCAGAGGCCTGATAACCGCTTGAATTGTGTCCCTTCATAGGTCCTGGGGTCCAGGAGAGGATGACAGGGGTGCTGCCCCCAGGTGCTGCAGTCCCTGCCACTGGCTTGTGCTTTCATTCAGTGGTGGATAGAACCCAAGACTTTCTACGTGCTGTGTGGTTGTTGGCCACTGAGCTGCATTCCCAGTTCTCTGTGACTAGTCTTTGCTGACTACATTCTCTGTCTCTTCTAACTGGCCTTTCCTCCTAGATAGATAGATAGATAGATAGATAGATAGATAGATAGATAGATAGATAGATAGATAGATGATAGATAGATAGATAGGGTATTTGCTTCCAGAGAAGACATAGAATGAATTAGCTAACAATTGTCTAACTCCTGAGCTTTCTAAAAAATGGTGCAAACACTACCTGTTAAATGATATTTTAATAACCAACACATTTTAGCATGTGTTATTGTGCTAACCTTTTTATATTTGTTTTCTCATAGGTGGGTATTTGGGTACTGAGGAATGTTAGCAAAGGGGAATGTGCTATTACCAAAGGAGCTTGTCCACTAGAGCAGTCCACTCTGCGTACAGGCAGGACCCATAACAGTCACCTAGATTCAGAAGGGCTTCAGTATGCCATACCATATAGAAGTGGTATAAAGAGCTTCATCCACGTGCGGAGCTTCTGAGGTCATCGGAAGTATCTTGCTCCTTTGATAATACCCTCCCTCCTCACAATGGTCTCTAATGACAGGGCTTGGGTTCCTGTCTATGGATTGGGGGGCGGGGTTGACAGTCACTTAGTGTAGAAATGCAGTGACAGGCAGGGATGGGTACATTTCCTGGGTGTTACAGGGAGAGTTATAACTCCCTCTTTAGGCAACATTTGGAACTGGGCTCAAAGAACTCATGCCGCTCAGAGTGTTTAAAGGCTGCGGTGTTTGTGACTGAAGCTGCCTGGACGCCAGAACTGGAAGAGATAGGGATTTGGTTCTCTAGCAAGACTGGCTGCCCCTTTTTCATTAGGGCTGCTGAACACCATCGTGTCTCTGATGTCCCGAGGACTTGCCACGGCAGCAGAGGCATGACTGGACTCTCCGTCCCATACATCCTTTTCTGTCCTGTCACTTTGGGACATTGTCAGCTTGATCCTTTGGTCACGGAGCTCAGAGAGCCAGCCATTCTGCTCCTTCCACACATGTAGTCCATCTGTTTCTATGGCTGATTCTTCTCTGAGCAAAAGCACTGATCGCATCTCACAGACTGGGGTGTTTTCTCTGATTTTACCACACTCTGGAGCCCTTCTCCACGCATGAAGTAGACAGATCTGAACGACTTCCTGTAGCATGTCACGGCTGACTGCTGGCCGTAGTGTCTCACCCTCCAGTTCCAGTATTGGGAGCCTGAGGTAGGATCACTGTGAGTTCAAGACCAGCTTGGATCCATAGTAAATTCTAGGTCACCCCAAAGTTCATAGTGTTAGTCTGTCACAGACAGACAGACAGATAGAAAGGATGTCGTGTCTTTTGATTTATTAGAATTATGCTCTTTTACAGGTCTCCAAAACAGACCCATCTCCAAAGCGGGAAGCACCCACCATGATTCTTTTTAACGTGGTGTTTGCACTGAGGGTGAGTGTTTGCGCGATTGCTTAGATCAGGAAGGAGGGCCTGAGGGAGAAGAGCCAGTTTCTAGTGAGGTTTTCATTGGCCCAGAGCTCAGACTCTGGGTATGGCACTTACACTTTTGGTGTGCAGGTAGAGCAAAGCTCATTGTTTTTCCTCCTTCTCCTCTTCCTCCTTGAACTTTTTTTTGGTAAAATACATACATATAACACTATTTACAGTCATGGTGGAACCCAGGGCCTAATGCATGTTGGACAAGCACTTTGTTACTAAGCTACATTCCTAGTCCTGAATGTTTTCCATTTTAAAGTGTGTGATGGGGGCTGGAGAGAAGGCTCAGCAGTCTTCTGGAGGACTCCAGTTCAATTCCCAGCACTCACGTGGCGGCTCACAACCCTTTGTAACTACAGTTCCAGGGGATCCAACACTCTCACACAAATGAAACACTAATGCACATAAAATAAAATTAGATAAATTTAACAAACAAACAAAAAAAGTATATGGTAGTACACACCTGTGGTCCCAGCGCTTGGAAAGCTGATGCAGGAGAATTGCCATATGTTTGAGGCCAGCCTATGCCACACATAGAATAAGATCCTATATCAAAACAGATGAACACTCAGCTAGACCAGGTGGTATACTCCTATAATCCCAGCACTTGGGGAGCTGAGGTAGGACAAGCAGGAGTTCAAGGTCATAGTGAGTTTGAGGCCAGCTTGGGCTAATGAAACCCTGTCTTATGCCCTATTACCCTAAAAAAACAAAACAAAACAAAACAACAACAACAACAACAAAATACAATTTAAGTCAGGCATGACTGCACATGTCTTGGGCTGTATAGTAAGATCCTGACTTTAAACATCAAATAATATAAATGAAACACACAATTTAATTATACCTAATACATTTATAATGTAATGTCACCATGTATCATTCATGTTGTTCATCCCTGCTATCTAGATTCATGTTTTATCCCTCTTAACAAGAAACCCATGAGGAGCCCAGCAGCAGTTTTTATGCCTCTGTATCTCAAAGAAAGTCCTAGGCCTCATGTGCATTCTTTTTTTTTTTAAGATTTATTTTTATTTTATGTGCATGATGAGTACATAGGTGTCTGTCCAAGGCCAGTAGAGGAGTCAGAGCCCTTGGATCTGGAGTTACAAGCAGTTGTGAGTGACCTGATGTGTGTTAGGAACAGAACTCAGGACCTCTGGAAGAGCAGCAAGTGCTCTTAACCACTGAGCCATCTTTCCACCTTGCCCCCCACCTCCCTTTTTTTGAGACAAGGTTTCTCTGTATAGTCTTGGCTGTTGTGGAACTCCCTCTGTAGACCAGGTTACCCTCGAACTCAGAGATCCTCCTGCCTCTGCCTCTTGAGTCCTGGAATTAAAGGTGTGTACCACCATGCCTGGCTTTTGTTTCTATTTTAGACATGGTCTTATATATCCCAGACTGACCATGAACTCTTATGTATCTCTGGATGACCTAGAACTCCTGATGCTTCTGCCTCTACCTCACAAGTGCTAGGATTATAGGCATGTGCCCCATGCCTATTGTATGTCCATTCATTATTGCATTACTACAAGACTTATCTATAAAGTAATGGCTGGTATTTTATGCCATAATACCTTTTTCTATCTGACAAGAGTTAACCACGATAAGTTGGTATTAACTAGTACCTGGTCCGTTAAAACTTACTGATTGAAAAACATAGTTTTCTAGTTGGCCTGTGTGAGCCATGATGCAGCCCCTACTCAGTGTGTGTGGTATCTCTGTCTCTAGTCTTAGCAGTCCTGCCCATTGTCTGGCCACATTTTCCACATCCCAGTTTGTGTCATTGGCAGCCTGTTATATCTGCTTCCTGACTTTCTGTGCCCTGCAGACTGGAAGTTACTCTGAAGGTGTTATATTTGGATACAAGCTTTTTGCAGGAAGCCCCATGGGAGATGACATAGTCACTTGGGTGCTGCTTCCTGTTCTGTACTGTGAAAGTTTACTTTGTTTGCCGGAGATGGTGTTGCAGAGACTAGACTGGCCTCAAACTTTATATGTAGACTTGGACTTGATCCTTCTACCTCTGCCTGCCAAATGCTGGCATTATAGGGAGAAGCAATCACACCTAGCTGCAAGTGTGCTCTTCATAAGCATTCCCATCAAAGTCTGGCATCTTCTAGGTGGCAGCTTTCTCAGCATCCCTGCATAGCCTTGGGAGCTAAGGCAGCTTCCTCAGTGTTAGCCTGTGCTAACAGTACACACGAGATAGCCCATCAGTGCATGTCTTTGACCTTAGAGGGGTGGGAGGAGGTAAGAACCACTTTGTACAAAGAGGAAACTCAAACAGTTGGTCCCCAACAGCTGATGCTTTTGTGCCTCAGCTAGTGGCACCTCTGCCAGAGGGTAAGACTCAACTGTGACTTCAGTTTTTCCTCAAAGGAGCAATCTGTGTCCAAGATTGTTTTCTCCCTGCTTTGGAGTGGGAATGTTTGTACTCAGACTCCTATGTGTGTTTTATTTTGAGGCAGTTGTATATACTCTGTAAATCAGCCCATTTAGAACATGCAGGGGATGCCTTAGGCCTGCTTCCAAGTCTGCCCATGTGCTAGTTCTCTTTGTAAAGATGGAACTTACTGAGGATATAGAAACTCTCTCCAGCTCCAGGTTAACAAAGTGTGGTCTGGGTAAGATTTTGATTTAAGGTAATAGGCACAGAGTCCCCTGGAAAATACACAGGATGGGAAAACAGCATCAGAGGTCCTAATCAGTAGTGCCATTTCTCCCTCTCCCTTCTAACCCTGTGCCCCAAAGTATTACTCAGCAGTGCTGGTGGCCTCTAGAAACACTGAGTCATGGCTTGGCTCAGTTATCTGCTCCTTCAAGCATCTCCATAGATCCCACGGTGGCCTGCTCCACCCTTGGTCTGGGTGTGTACACCTGCTGGTTGACTGTGGTCTCTGATAGGTTCCAGAAGGGTGAGGGACACTTCTAACCTGAGAACCCTCTGCATGCTACTTTGACCTAGTCATTGTGGGTGTACAGTGGATGCTGGGGGTGGAATGGGATGGACGTGGGCCTGGAGCCTGCTGGTACTCTGGTTAACTTGGGTCTTCTTTGCTAAGAAGAACTCATCCCTGACAGATGTTTAGCAAACAGCATAATACTTCTGTATTACATGTTCTGTAACACTGTGGCCTGTTGTGAATGAATTCCTATATACTGTAGGCCAGGCATGTTCATGAATGGTCAGATCACAGCAATGATTACAGAAACCTCCATGGTTTTGCTCATGGCAGCCTCTGTTCTGAGTACTGTATGTGTCTGACTAGCTTTCTCTGCTCAGTTGGTTGTCCTTCCTCAGATGAGGACCTGTGTCCCAGGATCACATGACAGATGGGTAGGATCTGTGCCCTTAGCTGTCCCTTGCTTTTCTGTACAGTCCTAGCATAGTGGGAATGTATGTTCCCCATAGAGGATTCCCATAGAGTCATCTCTGCAGCCCTGTAGACAGTTGTTCCCAAGACTGTAAGATGGGGATGTCAGCCAGCATTTATGGAGGTAGGCTGTAGACATGCACAGGGAATTCTGGAAGGTAAAATTACCTACGAGGAACCTAGTGGAAAGGAATGGAGAGGGCTTTTTTTTTTTTTTTTTTTTTTTTTTAAATGATTTATTTGTTTTATGTGCATTGGTGTTTTGTACCAATGTATGTCTGTATAAGGGTGTTGGATCCTTGGAACTGGAGTTACAGACAGGTGTAAGCTGCCATATGGGTGCTCAGAATTGAACCTGGGTCCTCTAGAAAGAGCAACCAGTGCTCTTAACCACTGAGCCATCTCTCTAGCCTGAGAGGGCTTTTTTTTAAATGGTCTACACTTTTTTTTTTTTTAGTTTTTTGAAATAGGGTTTCTCTATGTAGTTTTGGTTCCTGTCCTGGATCTCACTCTGTAGACCACGCTGGCCTCGAACTCACAGAAATCCACCTGGCTCTGCCTCCCCAGTGCTGAGATTAAAGGCGTGCGCCTCCACCTCCTGGCTTGGTCTACTCTTTTGCTGTGCACATGTATTAGCTCCTTTTACATTTTGTCTGTGTACATATTTGGAGTATCTGACCTCTGTCCTGTAGGCCAACGCTGACCCGTCAGTGATCAACTGTCTGCATAACTTGTCCCGGCGCATCGCCACTGTCCTGCAGCATGAGGAGCGCCGCTGCCAGTACCTCACTCGGGAGGCCAAGCTGATCCTGGCGCTTCAGGATGAGGTGTCTGCTATGGCCGACGGTGAGTGCTGCCGTCTGAGGATCATGGGGCTGGGCTGGCTGATGGCTTCTCTTGGGGTAGTATCTCTAGAGGACCAGTTGGTCACCATGCTTTGTTTTGAGGCAATTGCAGATAATGCTACTAATTGGCCCTCTAGTTTCAGGGACACTATTGAAGAGATCCTCTGTGCAGGAAAGGCAGGCTTACTGCCTGGTTGCAGGTTTGATCACATGCCAGTTCTCTTTGTGGACTGAGAGTACAAAGAATCTCTCTGCCTCCAAGGGCCTCTCCCATACCACAACAGAACAGTCAGAAGCTGCCAAAGCTTTGGCTTTTGGTGAGCTAGACACTGGAGAGGAAGTCCTTATAACAACTGGTAAGCAGAGACTGGCCAGAGAAGTTACAGGATCTTCATGTTGAGCTGCTCATGTCCAGAAGCACAGGAAGGCTCTTCTAAGGGTTTATATATGGATCTACTTTCCTAATGGAAGGGTCTGAATTGATATTTACAGGAAATACCCCATACACTGCTGTATGATGATCTTTCACCTAGCACAGGCACCTCTACCTGGCATTGGTTCTGTAGACAAATCTGCCCTAGAGTGGGAAACTCAGGGAGGGGTTATTGAGACCATCCAGCTGGTAAAATGGGTGATTTCCATGCTTTTGGCTTTTAAATTGAAGAAGAACCTAACTATATCCCCTAACCAGTCTTTGCTGAGAGACACTGTAACATTTGGTATGCCCAAAGGACCAAACACAGGAGAGAAACTGGTAACAAGCTTGGCCTCCTTTCCCTAAGGTTAGCAGCTACAAAAGAAAGAAAGAAGAACAGAGTGAGACAAAATTAACAAAGTCCCGTCTGGTTCTAGTGTATTTTCAGTAAAAAAAATTTACCCCTTTTCTTCAAAAATTAGCTGGGTATAGTGGTGTACACTTTTTTTTTTTTTTTTGGGGAGACAGTTTCACTGTGTAGCCCTGGCTGTCCTGGAACTCACTCTGTAGACCAGGCTGACCTTGAATTCACAGAGATCCACCTGCCTCTGCCTCTGCCTCCTGAGTGCTGGGATTAAAGGTGTGCTGCACCACCACCACCACCACCACCACCACCACCACCACCACCACCACCACCACTGCCTAGCTAAGGTAGTGTATACCTTCAGTACTAGCACTTGGGAGCCAAAGGCCAGTGGATCTCTGAGTTCCAGGTCAGTCAGGGATATATATAGAGACCATATCTCCAAAACAAAAACACTTGTATTGGGGGCCTGGAAATAGTTACAGAGTGGTTGCCTAGTAGATGCGAGGCTCTGGATTCCAGCCCCAGGACCCAAAACAAAGTAACAACCAAAACAAACACAAAACACTTAGATCTTTTATTTTAGTTAATTATAAGTATGATAGTAAGCAACTCAGAAATTTTATTTCCTCTTCTTCTTTGATGGTACTCACTTTTAATCCCAGGATTTGGGAAGAAGAGGAGATGGATCTCTGTGAGTTCCAGGCCAGCCTGGTCTGCATAGTGAGTTCCAGTCTAGCCAAAGCTACACAGTGAGACCATGTCTTAAAAGGAAAGAAACAGACAAACCAAAAGCAACAACAAAAATCTGTTAAAAAATTAAATACTAAAAAAACCCACGTTCATCTTAATTATATATATTTTTGTTAGAGATTTATGAAGGTTAATAAAAGATAATTCAGTCGTAAAAAACATCTCATTAGCATATGAGTGTGAGAAGAGGAGTGGGATGTGGCGTGGGAATACCCAGTAATACCCAGTCACTGCAACAGAAAGGTGGGGGCTGGTGAGCCAAGAGACACAAGGCCGTGAAATGGTTTGCTCCTGTGACTACAAGGTTGTGTAGGCCAGTGACAAGTTTAAATACAGGTATTTTATATAGAAATAATTTCACAGCTGGGCTGTGGTGGCACATGCCTTTAATCCTAGCACTTGGCCAAGGAGGCCGAGGCAGGTGAATTTCTGTGAGTTCGAGGCCAGCCTGGTCTACAAAGTGAGTTCCAGGTCAGCCAGGACTGTTACAGAGAAACCCTGTCTTGAAAAATCCAAAAAAAAAAAAAAAAGAGAGAAAAGAAAAAAGAAATAATTTCACAGATCAGTATGAGTCTACTTTTATTTTACAGGGATCAGGAATACACTGATTTTATTATTATTGTTGTTGTTATTGTTATTGTTATCATCATCACTACAAGGATTTCCTGATGTTAGTTTAACATTGCTTTAACATTACTTGTTAATGTTGACTTTGTTCTATAGTTCCTGTTCTGGCCTGTGCATGTTTCCTTGCTTTGGAAGCTGTGATCCTTACCTGTTGTGATTCTTGTAGCAAATGAAGGTCCTCAGTCCCCGTTCCACCACATCCTGCCCAAGTGCAAGCTGGCTAGGGACCTCAAGGAAGCTTACGACAGGTAAGACGGGCCATGCTTGTTGAATCCCTCCTCCTGGGCCAGCTGCCCTAAGCTTCCTTCCAGAGCTGGAACATCCTGCAGCAGTGCTACCATAGCCTGGGGAATGCTCTGGCCTGTGTGCTGGGACTCTGCGGAGACAGCAACAAGGACGGCCAGGGAGGGGACGGCTGCGTGGCCGGCCACTCTTCAGGAAAGCCACCTTGGTGTCCACTTTTCAAATGGCAGCCCGCCCCTTTGTTGAGTGATGTGTACTTAGCAGGGACACATCACTTCAGACTCCTTTTAATACAGAAGATTATACATGATTATATACGAAAGCTGAAATTATTTTTCAACCATTAAACAAAGTGACATTTTATTGAGCTTAACTTCTTGCCAGGTTCTTGACCACTTTTATTGAGGTGGGTCTCATTGAAGGCTCCCTCTTCACACGTGAGGAAATGTAGGTTCAGTGGGTAGAACTAGACTTGACTGTGATGGTCCTTGTTCCAGGAGAGCTGGAGTGTGAGACACTGGTGTATAGATAGGGTCAGCAAGTGTAGGACACAGTGGAACCTTATGTTGATTATATTGGTGACAGAATACTCTATTAAAATACTCTGGGTTGGCTTGAGACTTAAGCTCCTTCTGCTGGGATTGCAGGTGTGTGACTCTGTCTGGCTTTCTCTTTCTCTTTGTTTTCTTAGACCGGGTTCCATTATGTAGCCCTGGCTGGCCTGGAACTAACTAGCTTATGTAGAAAAGGCTGGGCTACATAGCATCCAAAAAACAAAGTAAAAAGCAAATCAGAGACTTTAGGTTTCTAAAGAAAAAGGAGTGGACTGGGATTGTGGTGGAAAGTTGGAAGGAAATAAGACCTTTTTTTTTTTTCAAACAAAAAAATTTTTTATTAAGATATTTTCTATTGATTTTACATACCAACCACAGATTCCTCTGTCCTCCCTCCTCCCATCCCCCAGTCCTCCCCCACAATCCACCCCTCATTCCCACCTCCTCCAAGGCAAGGTCTCCTCCCATGGGGAGTCAGATAAGACCTTATAGCTTTGTCATCTGCCAGGCACAGCTCAGGGCTTGGTGCATCACAGCACCACCTAGTGGACCAATTTGGAGGCACACAGGAATTTGAGCTTTTGGTGAGCAAGATTTCTTCTCCTAGCCAGATATCCCATCTGTTAGTACACAGGGTCTCTCTCACTCCTCAGGTGAACTCTTACACCAGCCAGTCCTGGGTCCTAGAACCTGCCTTGGTGAGGCTGAGAGCCACAGTTCGTTGGCAGGATGTGGCAGTTGTGACCTCCTCTGCTTCCACTCCTGTCTGGTATTGGCACAGCTCTGTAATTGCCCAGTAGCCCTCTTGGCTTGATTCCCCCAGCCTCATCCCACAAGGTCTGTGGTTGGCCTTGAAGTCCTGTTCTCTCAGCAGTAAAAAGGTGTGGCTGAGTGACATTGGCTGGGTAGCTGTAGTTCTCAGAGAAGAGCTAAAAGACAGGAAGTTGCGGGCTTAATTTGTGTAGAGCTTTGAGAGCATCTTTTCAACAGAATCTTTCTGGATTTACTATTTTAATTTAACCAAAGCTAGGGTTCTGATATGGTTGGGTAGCTAGTAATCCTGTTCCCTAAGTGTCTGTGAATATAGAGTGGAAGTAGGAATCTCTTAGGAGGTCACCCTGACTGTCCCAGTACCTGTGTCTCCTTATGGAACTCCATGATTCCACGTGAAGAAATGTTTTGTTGAGTGATTCTCTGAGTTAACAGGACTGTGAAGAGTCCGGGAGGCTTAGTTCTTGGGAGTGCTGTCTGAGGCCTGGCCAGGCAGGTAGTACTGGATGCACTGCTAACTAACTGCTCAAGAGCAAGAACAAGCCTGTAGATGTCTCGGAATATTCTGAGAGTTACAGTCTGTGTTTCACAAAAATGCCCCTATATGTAAAGTTCTGTTGGAAGTCTCAAGGTAGGACTTTCGAAGCCCCCACCCATGTCTCTTGGTTTGCGCGGCATCCCACCACATGGAGCAGGAACCCTGACTGCCACCGTGTGGGGCAGAGGACACAGCACACATCTCAGAGTAGGAAGAGGATGAGCTGAGTAGAGGTCAAAAAGTGACCTTCGGTTCTTAGCTAAAGGTAGGAGTTGGCATTCTTTCTCATGCTGAGGAGTGGGGGGTGAGATAAGCTTACACAGGGTGCATCTTGGGTGTGGACCGTAGGATCCTGGTGCTCTGCACAGTCATGGTGTGCAGATGCAGGGCTCTGGCAGAAGCTTTATCTCCTGTTGCAGAAAGGGCTGGGCTCTTCTGCTGTGAAGGCTGGATAAGCTTGGGACAGTGTTTTTTTTTTTTTTTTTTTTTTTTTTTTTTTTTTTTTTTTTTTTTTTTTTTTTTTTGTAGACTGTTTTCAGACTAAATAATGAAACACCTGCAAACAAACACAAGCTTAGCAGGAAACTTTTCTGGGTGCAGACCCTGGGTTCTGTCTTGAAATGCAGACTACAGAAGTAGGGGAAGCCCCTTTTCTTCCTGTCTTAACAGACGTTCTTGTGTTTCCTGGTTTACCCTCTTGCTGTGAAGGTTTCCCCTGACTTCTCCAGAGCTGGAGGCTAAAGTTGGGCAGGAACATTTCTAGTGCTCCCTGTCCTCCCAGTGCACTCCAGAGGCTTGTCTAGAGTGCATCTGTTCCTGGGGGCTCCTAATGGCAGCGCTCGGTGTCTCCACACACAGAGCTTGGTTAGTTTGTAAAGAGCTACAGCCCAGTACCAAGTATTCAGAGGGAAATCATAGGCTGGGGATCCAAAGTCAGCTGTCAGGAGGATGCAGAGACACTTGAGCTGCGCAGGTGTTATTAAGGCCACAGCTAGCATTTAAGCCTGGCCAACACTGTCACACAAGTCTCTGATGTGCCTTTCCCTATGACTCTGTGGTTTATGTAATTTGCTAAAGATTGTCTTCCTTAGTGCCAGCCAGAGTAAGATTCTCCCAAGTGCAAGGCTGTAATTTGTTTCCTTTCTTGTCATATCCCAGGTACCTGAAACAGTACTTAGAGTTGCACCTAGCAAATGGTTGTCACAGCGTCACTGAGGTCCTAGGTGGAGCAGATCAGTTGTATTTGAAATGATAGGAGTCTTGGCCTTTAATTCTGATTTCATGTTGTTCCAATAGCTACCCTGTGCTATACCCTAAATAAGAGAGCTCAAAAATAGGGCCTATTATTTCTTCCCTTTCTGACCACGCGTTAGCAGATTGGAGGAGCCTGGCTGGTGTTCACATGGGCAAGACTCCATGCAGCAGCACACTGTGACCTCTCCCCTCGTGCTCTCTTTTCCCATCTGTGTGTAGATCCTGGGAGCTTATGATGCAGTGTTTCCTTAGGTGGTTTCTGAAGGTTGGTTGTGAACTTTCCATCCCAAAGAAGGGTACAGCTCTGGAAACTGCACTCAGAAATGCGTGGTTAGGGCCCATTTCTAGAAGAGTCCAAGTGTGTTGACCTCCTCAGGGAGCCTGGTCTACAACCCACATCTTGACACTCATTAAACCGTCTAGTTTGTTCTCCCCAAGGGCCTGTGAACCACCGCTGCTCTAGACTCAGCCAGTGTGTGCCTGTCCCTACACCCGTCCTCGGTGCTGAGGCCCTGGGAGAAGCAGACGTATTTGGGAGCCATGGCATGCTTTGCATTGAACAGACAGTCAGTGCTGCAGGGGTCCTGGGGGAGTGAGGAGTCACAGATGTGTTCTACCAGGTCTCCTTCCCCCACTGCCTAGTCCATGCTTGAAGGGGAAAAGACTGGTTTTTGTGTTTGGAACTGTTGGCTAGGGTTCTTGGCAACCCTCTGGGGAAATTCAGAAGCCTAGGGCTCTTGGTTTATTGCTGGAGGCTTCAGGGAAGAGTCTATAATAGTCCTCAGCAGCTATGTTGTGACACATGTTGAGAATCTCAGCATTTGAGAGGTAGAGAGGCAGGAGGATCACATGTTTGAAGTCAGTTTGGGGTTACACAGCAAAATTGTGTCTTAAAAAAGGGAGCAGCTCTTGGAAGGCAGAAGCAGGCAGATCCTGTGAGTTTGAAGCCAGCCTGCATATCGAGACCTGGGACAGCCAGGGCTACATACAGAGACCCTGTCTCAGAAAAAGAAGTGTATGTGTGTGTGTCGGGGGGGGGGGGGGGGTAGCGGAGAGAAAAGAGAAAAGAAAATGTGTTTTCCCGGGACTGGAGCAAGGACCTTGTTTCTCCCACAGTACCCAAACATTTCCACCTTTGACCTGGACAGGAAGAACTCCTTGAGCTGCTGGCCTGCTCTATACTTGGCCATTCCCATACTGGGAGCTGAGAATAGCAGCAGCGTGTGTGGTGATGGGAAAGTATTTCTTGGCCGCTCTTCTGGGTAGGAGGCAGCAAAGGAAACGAGATGGGGAAGGTGCTTTAGAAATGGGCAGTTTGAAAACCAAGTGATGTGTCCTGTACGCTTATTTGAGAACTGAAGTTATCATGAAGCTTTAGGTTGTATTTCCTACATTGGATGAAGGAAGCTACCTGCCTGCTTTGCTCTGAGCTGGACTGGGTTGGGGCGGATGACAAGAAACAGCTTTCTGGTGCAGAATCAGTAGTCACGGGGCTTTGCCTACACGGTCGCTTTCCTTCCTTCATGTCACTTGTAGAACTGCAGAAGTGTGCTAACATACTTCCTGCCACACTGCATAGAGACCTGAACAGATGCTGTTTAATAAGCACATGCTGTTGGCACTTAACACGAGGACTGTGTGGCTGAGCTATGGGGTGGGACTCCTTTGCACAACCCTCTTCCTGTGTGTGGTTCTTCCAGGGACAGCCTACAGGGCCACATGTCCATATGGAGCCTGTTCTCAGCAGACAGTGTTCCTGAAGACATTGCCTGACTCTGGGTTCTCCCCTCCTCTGCATGAGTGCTGTGTACGCAGTGCACACCTGGCGTAGATATGGTGTGGTTGGTCAGCACAGCAGGAGGTAGCAGACAAGTAGTATCCTGTGGTCCTGAGTACATGGGCAAGGGTGAGGGGTCAGAGTGAAGGTGGGACCAGGTGTCATGGGTCAGGGAATACCTCATTGAGAATGTGACTTTGGTTGAGATTGAAGTAACGAGAGAGCCATGAGGCATCTGGGAAGACAGTTCACGGCAAAATTTTAAGTGCCAGGGTCCTGACAATGGCTAGACTTGAGTGATGGAGCAGGAAAAGAGAGCAGGAAGTGTGTGCGGGCCGTGGGGTTCTCTGTGTTGGAAGACCTTGGATGGTACTGCCCAGGTAGAAGCTGTGAGGAAGTGGCCCAGGTGTTGGTTGTCTGGGCAGCTCTGGTCTGCTGTTGCTGAAGAGGTCTGGATTTTGATTATCCTTGCAGGTAGAGCACATAGGAATGATTGATGGTTTGGGGTTCTGTTTGAAATAAGTGAGTTGGGGACAGTGCTGCCATGTTTGCCCTGAACATGCTGAAGCTGTGACTACGTGTCAGTCATTGAGAATGTGGGTAAGAGGTTTGTCGTGGTAGGATGTGGGAGCTGGCTGGATAGTCACTTGTATGTCCTCTGAGTGATCGCTACATACACTGTACCTTAGCACTCCTACCACCAGCAAAGCCTGGGAAGACGGGTGCTCTGTGCTTCTTACCATTGGCCGCTTCCCTCTTCTACCCATTTCTTCTCTTTGGGACTAGGCCCTGTCCTGCCCAGCCTGCCAGCCTGTGCCTGGGTGTGCATCAGGTGTTCAAGACAGGTCCTCTTAGAGAGGACGTGCTGTGGATGCCAGGTGTCTGTCTGCCAGGGCTCTGCAGACAGAATTCCCACGAGAGACAGAAGCAGCATCCTTTAGCCCTGACCAGCTGATTGGATTATACATTATTCCAGGGGGGTGGGGTGGTCTCTGAGTGTGTGTGTGTGTGTGTGTGTGTGTGTGTGTGTGTGTGTGTGTGTGTGTGTTATTTACATGTTCTTAGGTATATTGAGACCTGAGAAAATACTCTCTCAGCCCTGAGATCTCCACCTGCATTTTCCTCTAGCCAGCAGGGCAGTGTGTGAACAGGGTGGTGGTCTATGGCAACAGGCAGGTGGCAGCTGTACTAACAGTGACCACTCTTCGCAGCCTCTGCACATCTGGTGTGGTGCGGCTTCACATTAACAGCTGGCTGGAAGTGAGCTTCTGTCTGCCTCACAAGATCCACTATGCAGCGTCAAGTCTGATCCCTCCTGAGGCTATTGAGCGGAGCCTGAAAGCCATCCGGTAAGAGCCTTTCCCGTCCGCAGCTGACTGAGACTTTACTAGTTACTTCATTTCAGAAATGCTCTTCTTCCTGCCACAGAAGCTGGAGGTAGGGCTTTGCTGTTAGTAAAACCACATGATTTTACATCCAGAAATGCCCCATCCCAGGTTTTTCCTGGGCCCTCCCAGCATAGTCTGGGTGAGTAGAACCTGCCAAGGGCAGCCTGGGGCTAAGCTAGGCCTTTAGCAGCTTGCCTTCATGGTACAGTACACTCAGTAACTGTCAGCATTTCAGTCAGAGATCATGGGACCCAAGTAGTTTTTTAGATTATGTGATTTCCTGCAAGGAAAAGCTGGGCTGGAACAAAGCTCAGTGGTCTAGTGCTTTCTAGGCCCTGGGTTCTAGTTCTGTCCTCAGCACTACAAAGGAGAAAGAAGAGATGAAAAGGAATCTGCACACTCCTAACACTGGAAATGACAGGCACACTCAGAGCACTCATTGCCTAGTCCTCCCTCCTCCCACCTCTGTGCTCCAGGTCAAATGGCCTCCTTTCCTGCTGAGCATGTGTGTAGTTCTGTTCATAGTTGGTGGATATTTTGTTTTTCCTGCTTTAGAAAGACCCCCTTCTTCTTTTTTTGTGGTACTAATGATTGAACCTAGGACTTTGCATAAGCTAGGTAAGCACTTTACTAATGCACGCATATATATGTTTATGTATATGTATACACACACACACACACACACTCACACACACACACACATATATATACACATACACACATACATACATACATTTCTTCCCTCATGAGACAGGCTCTCTGTGTCTTCCTGGTTGTCCTGGAACTCACTTTGTATACCAGGCTGGCCTTGAATTCACAGATATTCACCTGCTTCTGCCTCCCAGGTGTTGGGATTAAAGGCATGTGCCACCATCCTCAGAACTTTTTTTTTTTGCTTTTTATTCTAATTTATTTATATGTGTGCACGCATGTATATGTACATGTGTTTAAGGTAGTAGAGACAGGCAGATCTCAAAGGCTTGGTGGCCAGCCAGTCTAGCCAAATTGGTAAGCTTCAAGTTCAATGAGAAGTCCTATTTCAGAAAATAAGGTGGAGAGCTGAGCATAGTAGCACAGGCCCTTAAACCCAGCACTTGGGAGGCAGAGGCAGGAGGATCTCTAGTTTGAGGTCAGCCTGGTCTGTATAGTGAGTTGCAGGACAGCCAGGGCTACACAGAGAGACCCTGTCTCAAAAATAAACAAGTAAAATAAGGTTGAAGATTGATGAGCTGTCTCAGTAGGTAAAGGTACTTGATTCCAGGCTCGATGTGAGCTGAGTTCAAATCATGGAACCCACATGGTAGAAGAAGAGAACTGTGTGTATGTGTGTGTGCCTCACACACATACAACATAAGTAAGTGTAAAAAAATGGTGGAAAGTGATAAAGACATCTGATGCTGACCTCTGGCCTCCCCCCACATACATAAATACACACACACACACACACACACAGAGGAGGTACTGGGAAATCCCAGAAGGGGGATGGGAAATCAGGTATTCAGACTCTCCCTACTTCTGTTCTAATTTCTGCGCCCTGCCCCCCTAGGGCAGCAGTAATCCTTGCAGATTTTATTAAGGCCCCTGGACACGTGACTGCTTTCTCTGATTTCTCCCTAAACCTCTCCTGCCCGCAGTTCAGTGCCTATGAACTCTGGCTGTGCCTTGGTGTCCAGGCACTTACCTGGTACAGGGCCCGTGGCCCTCCGTGTTCTGCTGACATGTGCCTCTGTCCTTCAGCCCGTACCATGCCTTGCTACTACTCAGTGATGAGAAGTCTCTGCTGAGTGAGCTTCCCATCGACTGCTCTCCGGCTCTAGTGCGGGTCATCAAGACCACATCTGCTGTGAAGAACCTGCAGCAGCTAGCCCAGGATGCTGATCTGGCCTTGTTGCAGGTAGGCTGGGGACGTGGAAGAGTGGGAAGAAGAGGCCTTTGGGTACATTTAGGGGCAGCCTGTGGGGGAAGTGCTAAGTTCTGAGAAGGGCAGACTGCCTGCCATGCTGCCTCTCCAGGGTCCTTGTCTAGCACATAAGTAGAAGTCCATGACCTGCCACAGACCACAGTGGTCTAGGTGGGAGGGAGGCTTGGGGTCCTGGCCTCTGAGTCACACCTGATTTAGAGCTGTCTTTGTGAGCACTGGAATGACTTCCTTCTCAATGAGCAGAGGTGAGATGAGCCACGAGAGAAGTGTTCCCAGCAAAGGCCTGGAGGACAGGCTGGGGACGTAGTAGCATACAGCAGACCCACCAGCTCAGGACAGTCACAGTGACACATGAGCAAGCGTGTGGGAAGTGAGAGCTCGGACCTGAGCTGCTAACTTGCCCTACTGTGTGCTTCTGTCCTTTGCACATTTCCCCACCTTTTATTCTTTCTCCTTTCTTAATAAAATACGTCTTTAAAGATGAGACAGGCAGAGATTCAGCCTTATTCTAGAGATCAGTTAAGTCCAATCACATGTTCAGAGAAAGCCTCCCCTATATGACAGAATTTGTTTAATTCACTCTCTGATGCCTGCAGGACCAGTATCTAAGTGAGTTACTGGTCCATGTGTATCCCTTTTGTTTCAGTGCCCCACTCCCCCTTTTTTTTTTTGTTCCCAACCCAGCCCCAAAGTCATCAAATACCCTTATTCTCAATGAGGAGGTGTGGCAGAGCTGTGGAGACAGGCCCCAAGGCAAGTAAGTGGAGAACAACTGATAAAGTTGTCCTCTACTCATGAGGTAGCACTGTCTGTCTCAGACCAGCAGAAATGGAAGAGATTCAATGCTAGATCCCACTCCGGGCTCCGGGGGAGGCCCTCAGCCTTGTCTGTGTTTCTGGTTGAAGTGTGGTGGAGGAAAAGCACAGAAGAAGCTGGTGTGCAGGAGCTTGGAGGGCTCCCAGGTCACCTATGCCAGGGCGGGAAGGCCAGGACCAAGAGAGTGAACGCCAGTGTCCTCATCCGGTAGTGGTGTGCACCCTTTGGCCACCAGGGGGTAGCAAAAGCCCACCCCAGGCACCTCCGTTTGCTCAAGGGCTAGACTTCTCAGTGGGATGAAGTGGCCACAGCTCTGAGGCAGGCCCTCTCTGATCTCTCTTGCTATGGCTCATGTGGACAAGAGAAGTGAGTTGGCATTGCTGGTAGTTTTTGCTTTGTGGACCTATTGGGCTTCCCCCCCCCCAAAAAAAAAAAATCCTTTCTATTCTCAGAATAAGTTTGTTCCTTCTCTCTATCTGGCTCTCCCTGGGCTCTGTGAGAGCACTTAGCATTCCTGCCTTTGTATTTCAACTTGGCCTCCTAAGCTGGACGAGACCCAGCAAGGACTACATTCTGCTTCCCTCTGTAACATCTAAGACACAGAACTTTGAATATATTCAGTGTCCCAGATATCCACACAGAGGGGCAAGGCTGCTGTTGTAAAGAGTTTGGCCGACATGGATGATAGTGTATTTTCATTTCCTGCTGCAAGTTTGAAAAGACTTACTAAGAGGCTGTTTGATGGCGTCTGTGCTAAGACTGCGCCTGACCCTCACCGTCACAGTCCTCTTTGATAAACCTTTGATGTCTCCTCCATTTCCTTGCCTTGGCCTCGTCTGGGATCAGGGAAGAGGGTGTTGTTTCCTTCCGTACCAACACCCTGCTGAACCTGATAGAAATAGTTTACTGCTGGTGTGCTTGCGTGAGACCCTGGGAGTTCTAGCCCTGGTGGTTCACCTCACCATTCTCTGGGACTGCACCTGTGGGGTACAGTGGACCTTTGGGGGGAACATGTGCCTTGGGTGTGAATGTCACACATGATATAAGATCACTCTGATGGGCCCTGGGACACACGTGTAATTCCAGCCCTCAGGAGGCTGAGGTGGAAGGATCTGAGTTCAAGGCTAGCCTGGGCTATGAAGGGAGACCTTGTCTTCAAAAAGCAAGATAAAACAATTAGAAAACCACTCATACCATATCAATCCAGAGAGCGTACAATTCTGGGAGTTTTGTCTTGATGAATCACTAATCAATAGTGCTGGAGAGGTGGTTCATTCTGTTGTTATTGCAGAGCATCTGAGCCCTGCACCCAGATCAGGCAGCTTCTGGGAACTCCATCTGATGCCTTTGGTCTATGAGGGCACCTGTACACACCTGAACACACATATACACATAATTAATACAAATAAATGAAAAATTATTAACAAAGTTTCTCATGAAAGTTCTACATAACATAAATTACAGATCAGAAAGTCCCCACAATCCTCTATTCCAGAGATAAACACTGAAGATCCTGTCAGCATTTCAGTTGTTTGTTTGAATCAGCGTCTTGTTATGTCTCCCTGACTAGCCTAGAACTTAAGAGATCTGCCTGCCCCTGTCTCTTGAGTACTGGATTAAAGGCCCCTGCAGACTTCTGTTGTTTTGAAATAGGCTGAATTCTGTGTGGCCTTGGCTGTTTTGTTTCTTCCTTCCTTTCTTTCTTTTTTTTAAGTTTTTAGAGACAAGGTTTCTCTGCACAGCTCTGGTTGTCCTGGAACTCACTCATTAGAACCAGGATGGCTTTGAACTCAGAGATCCGCCTGCCTCTGCCTCCCAAGTGCTGGGATTAAAGGCGTGCGCTGCTGCTGCTGCTGCTGCTGCTGCCGCTGCCGCTGCCGCCGCCACTTGGCCTGCCTTGGCTGTTTTCAAGCTTGTAATTTTCCTGCCTTGGCCTCCTGACCTCTTGGGTGTGTCACCATACTCAATTCTTTTCAGGTTTTTTTTTTTTTTTTTAAACAGTTCTAGCTGTCCTGGAACTCACTTTGTAGACCAGGCTGGCCTCAAACTCACTGAGATCCTCCTGCTTTTTTCAGGTTTTTAATGTATGTACACATATTTTTTTGGCAGTACTAGAGATTGAACCCAGGGCCTCATGACTGATTAGGCGAGCACTCTACTCTGATGTCCTGCATATCAGATGTTTACATTATGATTCATAACAGTAGCAAAATTATAGTTATTTTATGAGCCGGGTGGTGGTGGTGCACGCCTTTAATCCCAGCACTCAGGAGCCAGAGGCAGGTGGATCTCTGTGAGTTCGAGGCCAGCCTGGGCTACAGAGTGAGTTCCAGGAAAGGCGCAAAGCTATACAGAGAAACTGTGTCTCGAAAAACCAAAATATATATATATATATATATATATATATATATGGTTGGGGGTCACCTGAGGAACTGTTTTAAAGGGTCACAGTGTTAGGAAGGTTGGGAACCACTGACTTAGAAGTTTAAGAGTACTTCAGAGGACCTGAGTTTGGTTCTTAGAACTCATGCTGAGCAGTTTACAGTCTCCTGTAACTCCAGCTCCAGGGGATCTTATAGTCTCTTCTGGCTTCTGAGGGTACATTAGCATGAACACACACACACACACACACACACACACACACACACACTATTTTTAAGAAGGGAGTTGAAGGAGAGTTGATTGCAGAAGAGAAGAAAGTGATGTAAGTAAGAGTGGAGATTGGCGTGATGAGGCTGCAAGCCAAGGAATGCCAGCAGCTGGGATAGACAAGGACAGATGCTTTGTTTGAACCCCCAAGGCAGCACAGGTTTGCTGGCACCTTGATTCCAGCCCTGTCATTCTGATTTTGGACTTTTAGTCCCCAAAATGGTGTTCTGGCTGCCTAGTGGAGAACGTTTTGGGGTAGAGGGAAGATGGAAATGAAGTGTCAGCAGAGATGAGAAAGTGGGCATGTCTGCCTGACAGCTCATGTCAGTGGCCCTCGGGACAAGAGCAAAGAGGGGCAACAGTGAGGTGGCTGTGTCCTCCATGTTTGAGCTGGTTGTTGGCAGATACCTGCCCTTGGTAATATAAGACACTGTGTCCAGGCAGGAGGACTCACCACCCTGGGCCCATCAGCTGAAAGGATGGAGGTGTGTGTGGGGTCTTTGTGATCTCTGTAGAACGTCATTGGTTGGGATTTCACACACCTTCTCATGAAGGGCTGTGGTGCTGTATTTTCAGGTCTGGCTGTCTCCATGAAGTTAGTGTGTATGAAGGCCACGCTTTGAAAGGATTTCTGGTGTCTTTGTGTATTTCCTGGTATATGAGAGCTTAGGAGAGCAGGATGGTCTTTGGGGAAAGCAAGATACATAGGGATGAATTGGGACTTTCAGTATGCAGGAGTGGATACAATGAGAGACTCCATATTTCATTACTTTGGAGAATGGTGCTGGAGTTCTGGTTGCCATGGGAACACTATGCTTCTGCTGGAATCATCCAGCCCAGGTAGGCTGATCAGGTTCCCCAGCACTTCAGTGTCCTTGTGTTCATGTGCTTACTGTCTAGCAAAACGGTGGTACCAAGCAGCACAGGGAACTCTGAACACAGAAACAGTGCTGTAGGAGTCTTTCTCTGTCCCACCTGCCAGTTTCCAAATAACCACATGGAGACTTCTTATTAATTATAAAAGCTCAGCCTATAGCTTAGGCTTGTCCCACCAGCTCTTATAACTTAAATCAACCCATTTTTATTCATCTATGTGTTGTTGCCACATGACTTCATGGCATTTACCTGTTGTCCTATATGTCTTGTTCTCTCTCTGTCTGGTGACTCCCTTCTTCTTCCTTTCGTCCTCTCTGCCCTGAAAATCCTGCCTAGCTATTGGTCATTCAACTTTTTATTAAACCAATCAGAGTGACACATATTCACAGTGTATAAAAAGATTATTCCACAACACAGTGCTGGTGGTACTCACTGACCCAGGGGCTGGGGTGGTACAGTGCTGCTTTAGACTGGAGGTGTTACAGAGTGTAGGCAGGAAGGCCATGGCCTCCAAGTTCAGTCCCTCCATCTCCCCTTGGTCTGCAGGTCTTCCAGCTCGCAGCTCACCTGGTATACTGGGGCAAGGCCGTCATCATCTACCCATTGTGTGAGAACAACGTCTATGTCCTGTCTCCCAATGCCAGTGTGTGTCTGTGAGTACCATTGGCTGCCAAAATCTAGAGTCTAAAGCCAGAAAGAGCCCAGCAGGACCCTTTAGTGGCACCTCCAGTGGCCAGGCACCAGAGGCTCTGAAGCCCTGAGGCCAGCTCTAACTGTATCCTGATGCGCATGCTCACTCAGGTGTGGATCCCAGTTGATGTGGTGCTGCCCATGTTAAGGCTATCTCTTCCTGGATGAGAACAGAGAGGAGTTCTGTGGCTCCTGCCACGTCTTGAGGGACAGTGCCTGCAATTCTGTCCATCTGAAGGCCTGCTGGGTCACCATACTTCATTCTGTTGTCATTATGCTCACCCAGACGGTTGCTGTGAGCATGGGAGATTGCATTGTGACCACTGTTGTCTGCTCTAGATACTCCCCACTGGCCGAACAGTTCTCCCGCCAGTTCCCGTCCCATGACCTGCCATCCATCCTGGCCAAGTTTTCCTTGCCTGTTTCTCTGTCGGAGTTCAGGAGCCCTCTGGCTCCCCCGGCACAGGAGGTGAGTCACTAGAGCCCCCATGTGGCTTATAAGGTAGACTGGGTCTAACTCCCTGCCTGGTGGCCCCTGACTCAAAGGCATTGTGGACCTTTTTGCCTTAGTTTGGGGGAACTTGCTGGTGAGTACTGCAGGCTTCCTGTGGTCCATGGAGCCCACCATGGGTATCCTCGGGTCTAGGACTGGGTTAAGTTTGCCAGAAGGGCATTCATTGGCTTTTCTTGGGCTGACAGGATCCCCTTGTGCTGCCTCCTGGAAGAGGGGCTTCTCATACCGGAGGCTGCAGACAGCTTTGTTTTCACTAAGCCTGGGCCCTGCTTTCCAAGACAGCTTAGTTCCTGCACCCCTTCCTCTGGGGGCTTAGGAACCATGGGATCTTTGTGTAGAATCCTAGGGTCTTTGGGCCTAGAGTCCTTTTCCTAAGACCTCCTTCCTGTACATCAGGCTAGGACTGTCTTGCCTGGTGGGCCTGGGTCAGGGCAGAGCCTGGCAGCTGGAGGCTGGTTGTGGTGGGGTGCTTCTAAAGGTGCAGTGGCTGCAGGAGTCAGCCACTTTTCACAGCCCCACACTCAAGAGATGGTGAGACGGTGACTTGGGGCAGAGAGGCTTTGCCCCCTGCTCTCTATTAAGTGCTTTGAGCTCTAGGAGAGGATCGGGGAAAGAGGACAGGTGTCTGAGACAAGCTGGGTGATCTCCATGCTTTATCTTCAAAAGCAAAGTATTTGTTTTAATAGGTGCCAGATACACTGGGCAAAATCAGTCTTTAAAGTCAAATACTTCCCCTTCTCAAATTGTGAATGGTAATAAGATCCTGGGGTTTTAGCTCATTTACATGCCGAGTGTGCCAAAGTTTAAAGCTGCCTTTCACTGAGCCCTTGGTTTCCAGGAACTGAGCCAGGAGGAGGGAAGATACACTTTGCATCTGTACCCTCCCTCCTTCCCCCAGGCAGCTCTTGGGGAGGGTCTGGCAGTGCTCCCATCCCAGCAGAAACTTCCCAGTTGTCTGGATAACGGCTGATCTTCAGGCCATGTCTGAGCAGCTGCTTCAGGGCTTGTCAGGGGGCTGGGATGGAGCTGTTTGGTTTGCCACATCCCAGGGACATACTGTCTAGTGCTTATGAAGCTTTTGTGTTTTATTCTTTATATTTTGTGTTTCAATAGCTTGAATTCCTATCGAATTTTATTTGGTTTTGACCATGATTGGTATGCATGTCTTCCTCCCCAGTAACTCAGCCCCCTTCCATGAGTGACCTGAGCAGCAGCTCTTCTGGGCCTCCCAAAGACGAGAGCACTGGTTTTGTCTGCACACACCTTACTGCTTGGGGTCTGTGCCTGAGAGGTACTTTTCCATTGGTGCTGGCTACTGCCTGGCCAGTGCTCCTAAGGCCTGAATGTGCCTTACCAAGGAAGAGCTATTGGCTCCACACTGGAGCAGTAGGTCCCTTTTTCCTATCCTTCTGGAATCATCTCTGCTCTCGGAGCAGACTTTCAGCTAGAGCCAAGGACTCCCAGGGCAGTTGCTTCTCTGAACAGTGTGTGGGGCCTGCCTAGCAGTGGACTGTTAATGGGAGCAGGGCTCAGTGGGCTGGAGGGAGGGAGGCAAGAACAGAAAGGGAGGGAGCCCAGGTGTGTGATGAGAGCTCCTGCAAGTGCGCTCTGGGAATTCCTCCCGCCCTTGCTGACCTTCTCTAGCTACGCAGCAGTTGAGGGTCCCTTCTTCCAACTGGAGGCCTTCCTGTGTAGGTATTGGGGCTGCTAAGGGCCACAGTTCTCATTCTCCGGGAATAGAATTAAGACTGGAGTCAGGGGGTTGGGGATTGAGCTCAGTGGTAGAGCACTTGCTTAGCAAGCGCAAGGCCCTGGGTTTGGTCCTCAGCTCTGGGGGAAAAAAAAAGACTGGAGTCAGGGAACCGGTCCACACTGTCTCACCCTGCTCACCCAGACCCAGCTCATTCAGATGGTGGTGTGGATGCTGCAGCGCCGGCTCCTCATCCAGCTGCACACCTACGTTTGCCTGATGGCCTCACCCAGTGAGGAGGAACCCCGACTGCGAGAGGATGATGTCCCCTTTACGGCCCGAGTTGGTGGCCGCAGCCTCAGCACGCCCAACGCCCTAAGCTTCGGCTCCCCAAGTAGGATCCCCATCCAGGACATCTGTCTGGTAATGGGGGGCTGGGAGACTTTGGGATGGCATCCAGGAAGCCTGGGCACTGTTGGAATAAGAAGTGTCTTTACATGTCTGTACACTCACCTCCTCCTCTGAGCGCTTGGCTGTAGTCAGGGGCAGCCTTTGCCTACTGCAACACAGCTGGACTCCCCCACTCCAGCCTGTGCTCAGAGCAGGGCCTCATACTGTCATCACAGGGACCACAGCTGTCTGCTGTTGGGGTCCATGTGAACTCTTGTCTAGTGCTTCCTCCCCCATGTTGGCTAAGGTGTGGAACAAGATACCCATGCCTGCCTTAGGGTATAGTGGGCATGCAGCCTTCTTCCATTCTGGGCCCTTGAAGCTCTTCCTATAGGGGCAGCTCCTTGTGTTCCAGGTTAGCCATACAAGAGGCATACTACGCACTTAGGAGGTGGGATGGCAGTGAGTTCTTCTATGAAAGCATATGGTACAGTTGGGTACCGGAGTGGAGTGTGGCAGTGACGTCAGGATCTGGATGCTGTCAGTGCCTTTGATGCTCCCCATCTTGGCACACTTGGCATCACTTGGCTCTTCTAACCCACAGCCAGCAGTGATGACATGACCCTTACCAGCCCCAGTATGGACAACTCCAGTGCAGAGCTGCTCCCCAGTGGGGACTCACCACTAAACAAGAGGATGACAGAGAACCTGCTGGCCAGCCTCTCCGAGCATGAGCGGGCTGCCATCCTCAGTGTGCCTGCAGCCCAAAACCCTGAGGACCTCCGCATGTTTGCCAGGTAGGGAGCAGGCGACTGAGTGGGACCTGGATAACTGCACGGGAGTACTGGTATCCTTGCACAGCTGCCTACTACCACAGTCGCGGTGGGTCTCCCCCGGAATCGAAGGGCAGGAGCTATTGTCCAGGGGTGGGGATACAGGCGCTGGCCAAGCCCCTGGGTTTAGTGGGCAGCTTACTCAGTACCTCTGGATGTTCCTTGCCACTGCTCGAGAGGCAGCTACCCTCAGGTTCTGACCCACTTGGGGCTTGGCCCTGGGGGAACTTAGGAGCCTGTGTAATAGCAGCTTGATGTCTGTCATGTCCGTCCTGACTTAGGTGTTGTAAGGGCATGGTGTAATGGGAGAGGTCAGGCTGTCGGTGTTCAGTGTTTGAAGAATCACACTGCAGACTGTTGGAGGACCATTTGCAGCTCTTCCAAGTGCTGATCAGGCCTTACCTGTTCCCTGGACTTCTCTGTGCTGGACCCATCAGCAGAAAGCTCCTGGAGCAGACTGAACCCAATGCCATGGGAGAACAGAAGGAAGCCATTAGCATTCCTCCCTCCATCAGGGTGCATGCTTGGGCGCTCTGGGTTTGCACAGCCGGGCTGCTTTGTGGACTCACTTCAGGCCCACCACCGGTCACTGGGGGATTGGTGGACATCAGTCCAGGATGCTTGGGCCCCACCCCACAGCTCTTTACGAGCTTGCAGGCAGCTTACAGGTCTACCCACCAAGGGCTATTGGAGTCCTTAGTAGCACTGGCCTTCTGCTAGGCTCATGCCACTCTGTCCTTCACCAGGCTCCTTCACTACTTCCGTGGCCGTCACCATCTGGAGGAGATCATGTACAACGAGAACACACGGCGTTCCCAGCTGCTCACGCTTTTTGACAAGTTCCGCAGTGTGCTGGTGGTGACCACCCATGAGGACCCCGTCATTGCTGTCTTCCAGGCCCTGCTCACATGAGCCCAGGCAGCGTGCCCAGTGTGAATGGGAACTAGTCTACCCCTGACCCAGAACTCCTGGCTGGCCTTAGGAGGATGGGCAGCCCCAGCCTGGCAGAACTGGTTCTTGCCCCAGCTGTCCGTCTGGTCAGAAGCAGCTATGGGGCAGCCACTGCTGGACTTTTTTTGTTGTTTTGAGACAAAGACTTAGGTAGCCCAGACCTCATACTCGCTATGTAGCCAAGGGTGACTTTGAACTCCTGATCTTCCTGCCTCTCTTCCTGTGTGCTAGGATTACAGACATGTGTTACCAATGTTACTTTAAGAAATACATGTATATTTATTTTCATTTATAGTTGTGTGTGTGTGGGTTCCCTCAGAGGTCAGAAAAAAAAGCATACCCTGGAGCCAGAGTTACAGAGGTTGTGAGCTGCTGGGTGTGCTGCTGGGAACAGAACTCCAGAAGAGCAGGAAGCACTTTTAACCACTGCCATCTCTCCAGCCCCACCAGTCTTACTGTTCGGTCTGGTCCTTACAGCATCGAAACATTGCTGAGCTGGAGAAGGTTTTCCAGATGCGTGCGTCTCTCAAGTCCAGACCTTCACACACACAGGTTGTGTCTTTCTGATCTCTTACTCAACCCTTATGCAGCTACCCTGGAGTGTCCTAGGTGCGTGTACCCATACACTGATGATCCCCCTCTCCGGTGCCAGACATACTGGGTACCCAGGTTTCCTGACCTGGGTGAAGAATTAACTTCATGCACACAAATTCTGGCTGAGACTTGGACAGTTCCCCACAAACAAGATATTTATTCTACTTTTAAACAATAAAAAGCCTGTCAGGCTGTTTGCTGAGGCTGATACATCTGTTCAGCCACTCTATCTACCACACTGACCCATGGGCTGCCCTGGACATAGAAGCGCAGGGGCTTCTGGGTCCACTCCCCTGCATGACCAATGCCTATGCGAGCTGCTGCCACCACAGCTGGGCTCCTGGACTCGAGAGGGCCATGTTCCAGCCACACAGCCTCATCCTGGGCCAGGTCTCGCTGGTCAAAGCTCTTATCAATGGCCAGGGCCTGGCACAGCTTGGAGGGACCACTACAGAGCTCACGGTCCTTGAGGGTACGGCTGACAGGGCTTTTCCGGCGGGTGTTGCGAAACTGCCGCATGGTCTCCAGGCCCTCCAGGGGCTCTAGTGCTCTCAACAGGACACAAGCCCCAGCCCCTGTGGGACAGACAGACAGCCTGGAAGTAAACTTCAGACCTCCTGCCATACCCAGTGTGACAAGGGTGCTGCTGTCTTCTTACATGTGTAAACTGGTATCCACTGCATCCAGACCCCTGTGCATCCCCTTCCCTGTAGCGTCAACTAGGTTGCTATGCCTTCCGAGTACCCTGGGAAGCCTCTACCAGGCAAGCCTGACAGTGAGACTCCACCCCTGCTCTCCAAAGCCAGAACTATGATCAACTAGTGTGGGTGAGTCTTTGGCATCCTCTTTCTGTAGCTTCCCCTAGTCGTGACTGGTAGTGGCTATGAGGATGGCATAGGAAGCCCCAGGGAGCCAGCACCTCGGGTAGAAGGGATGCCACTCTACTAGAAAATGGTAAGTCTCAGACCTAATGCACATATGACACAGGTCAAGGGAGCCTGAAAGGTCCAGTCTCTTGAATCCCTCCTCCCATGCTGTACTTAGCTCATCACCTGTGACTTCCTCTGCCATTTCAGGGAGAAGCAGGACACACGATCCCGACTCTCAGCTCCCAGGACCACCTTGTCATCCCCTACCATCCTGGCTCCCTCTCTTCTTCATGCAAACACTTTTGATCTCCAGGTCCTTGCCTAACTGCTACACCTCTGCTTTAACTCAGCACTCTGACCTCCGCTCTGCTTGGCCCTGCAACCCCCATCCTCTTCCCAAACCTTCAGTGTTCACACTTGAGTGTCAGTGATACCCAGGTCTTTCGCCACTACTCAACATGGATGACCCTCACCAGGACCATGTGCACCCTTGTGGAAATTTGCCCCCAACCTGGATGTTCTTGGGGGGTTGGTTACATGTTCATCCTTGCCTCGGCCTTGTTCCCCATGCCCTAGGAACCCGAGGGTTTTCTCCCTCAGAGACTGCAGCACCAACCATCTCTGTTTCCTTAGTTCAGCCACACTAGCGGAGGTAGTTCTGTCCAAGAAGGCTTTGTCACCTCTCTCTCCTTTCTCTCTCTCTCTCTCTCCTTTCTCTCTCTCTCCTTTCTCTCTCTCTCTCTCCCTCCCCCCCCCCCCCTCTCTCTCTCTCTCTCTCTCTCTCATTAGAAGAGGAGGAGGAGGAGGAGCCTGGTGCTGACAAAGCCAGAAGAGGGCGCTGAGTCTCTTGGAACTGGAGTTATAGATATGGCTATGAACTGCCATGGGGGTGCTGGGAAGAGAACCCAGGTCCTCTGCAAAAGCAGCCACTGCTCTTAACCACTGAACTGCCCCTCCAGCCTCCTCTTGTGATCTTTTGATGTCTAGTCTGCCATAGTGTCACTCAGCATCAGCTTTGTGGTAAGCACAGAGCCAGTCACCTCCAGCTCCCATGGCCCCTGCACTGGACACCTTCAACTTTCTGCTATGGACAGCCACAACTCCCTGCATCACAAGTACTTGTCCAACAAACCAAGAACCTTTGGGGACTTTGGGCAAGCAGGGGGGTGCTCAGCACATAGATGCTGAGATACGCCAACCATGTTCCTAGCCAGTGGTGGCTTTGGCAGGACGGTACTGTTCTTCAGGCTCAAAGCACTGAGAACACAAGGCTACATGCTTGTCATGACAGAGCTGGACCCCAGAGGACAGCCAGTTTCTCCCAGGAGCATTGCACCAACATCCCTCCATAAATGCTATCTGGGGCCAGAAGGACCTATGCTGTTATCACAGGGTTTCTAGCAAGCCTTTACCTGCTAGATGCTAGCCAGTTATGGTAACTAAATGTGTCACCAAACATTGCCCAATGTCCCCTAAGGAGGCAGAAATGCTCCTGGGTAAGAATAACTGAGCCAGATCCCATAATAGGACTTTTGGCAAGGCTCCAGTAAGAGTCCACCTCACCCCCCAAACCACCAGTCTCTTGATTTCCACTTCCCTAGCCCCTGGCCCACTCCAAATCTAACCCAGAATCAAAAACACCATTCTGAACTCTGGCCACCGAACCTGACTGCTTTGGCCTGTAGCCTCTGTTCTGTGGAGCCTCGGCTGCTTTAGCCACGCTTGCCCTGTCAAGAACAGCCAAAGCTCCTGAAATCCCAACTTAGCCCCTGGCAATGGTACCTCCCCACTCAAATGCCTGTCTACCTCAGTCTTCCAGGGGGACTGGCCAGCTGCTAGCCTGTCTGCTTCCCAAGCCCAGCACCACTAACCTTGACTGGAGACATTCAGGCAGAAGTACATGCCATAGATGAGGTACACATACAGGGTCCCAGGTTTCATGAACATGCCACGGTTGCGGGGAGTTTGCCGGCCACCCCTTGAGTGAGCAGCTTCATCTTCTGGCCCCAAGTATGCCTCAGTCTCCACAATGCGCCCTCGGAGTTCTGTTCCATCAGCGAGTCGCCGGACAAGTACCTGTGGGCAGCGAGTCTGCTCAGACAGTAGGGGTGGGGGTCCACCCACCTGGGCAGTCCCCACCTAGACCTCCTCTCTTAGGCTCAGGATGTACCAGGAACCCAGGCCCAGCCAGACCGAGCTCCTCCATTGTGCCTCCTCTTTTGGTCTGCTCAGAGTTAGAAGGCCGCTGTTGTTAAGGTCAGCAGCCCTTCTTGACCAACTCTAGTTGTTCACTAAGGGTTCTGACCACATCTTGAGATTCACTTGGATTCACTGTGCAGGTTGACCTCAAAGTCCCCTCAGTGGTGTCCTCTGCTTTCCCACATCCTCTCCCAGAGTTCCCTTGAGAGCCTTAAATGTTCAGTGGCCCCAAGGGGTCCCTACACAGCTTCCTGGGATAGTCCAGATTCCATGGTGTGCTTATTAAGCTAGGCTAGCCACAAAGGATCTCCATGCTCAGATTGTGCCCACTAGTGCTAAGGCTTTAATGAGAAGCAGGGCCAGCAGGGCCAGCTCATGCAGTGCCTAGTCTGGTTCATGGTCCTAAGAATGGCCAGCAGTCTTAACCAGGGCTCATAGAAGGATTTCAGGATCCAGCCATGTCCCTCACATCCTTAGGTTTGAGGGGCTATTTGGACAGAGGGCACCTTCATCTCAGTCCAGGTAGACCCATGATGCCTCAGGGTTGATGTAACAGGCAGGGAGGAGGAAAAGAGGGGCCAGTGCTTGCCATGGAAGCCTGGAAATCCTTTCAGGAACCCAGAACACTGAAGACAGGGATGAATGTTTTGGGAAGAGAAAATGGTCAGGGAGTGTTCCTTTACTAACTATACTCACATGCTCCCATGTCTCCAAGGGGCACACTGGGAGCCCCAGCTGAGCTGGAGGGAGCTCCTGGGACTTTCCTGGTGGAGGGCAGGAAGGCAGCAGGATCTTCAGTCGAGTAGCCTGCTGTCCTGGCAGTCACTGCAGTGAACCTTTACTGAGCATGTGACCCCCACCGCGTGTGACCCACACCTGGGGTCTCCTTGACCAAAGGGGTACACAGGCTAAAAATACCCCTCTCCCTGCCAGACATCATCTTGTCTACCAATGTGGGCTCAAGCAGGCATGACGAAGCCAGCTGACATGCCCGGGATGCTGAATAGAGGCAGATGTATGGTGGTGGTGCTGGACCACCTTGACCTTCACCTGAGATGAATCTGTGCCATGTTGTTTTGTCATATTAGAGATGTTGATTACTATGATGCTTTTAGAAGGCACACAGATCCTTGCAGCTTAAAACATCCTGACAACAGAATTAAGTCCCTTCTCCAGGCAGTCAGGGTCTGTTCCTGTTAACACGGAACTCTTCGTATCAGTTCTTCTATTAGAGAAACTGGCTGTCCTTGGCCATGCTACCCTAAAGGGAAGCTTGTTAAAGGAAAAAGGTGGGCCAGGGAACCTTTAAACTAGGTCAGGCCTAAGCTCTGGCACCTAGGAACAGCGAGTGCTTCAGTGAGCCCGGCCAGCTTCATGATGTGCATCGGGAAGGCGACGGCCACACCAGGCTGGGCCTGGGGTATCTCCACTTCCCACTCCAAGCATGCCTGGTACAGCCCAGATCCTGGGCCTATACTGAGCCATGCAGCAAGAAGACCAGCTCTTTCAAGTGATTCAGATACTGGCAGCCTAATGGTATCCCTGGCCCCGGCCATAAGGGAACAAGGTAGGCAAAAGTGGTCCCTCACAGATGCTGGGGCCTATACCGTCCATAGTCCTTGTAAACAACCTGTCCTAAGGCGATTTCGGATAGCACAGTCCCTATTTCCCTGATGGGTAAGGCTAACAACATCCCTATTGTTACTGTCAAAGCCAGTGGCCCTGCTACCTCCACCGAGGAGCACCACTATCAATATTCTTACTCTTTGCAGTGATCCTAGACAACAGCCAAACTATCTGGGGCCAATGTGAACAAAGCAGCTACCGATGTGAGCACAAGGAAGGCCGAATTAGAGACGTGAACAAGCAGTGACCGGACTAGGGCCCCTGGGACCTGCACCTGCATTTATATTACCTGTCCCAGAAATGCACGGGCCAGGGTGACTGCTGGCTGGTCAAAAAACTCTGGTCCCAGCCTGGCAGGGTGGTCCTCTGGGCTGGAGAAGTAGATGCTCCGCTGGAGGCCCAGGGTTGAGGGTGGCCTCTCTTTAGGGATCTGCTGCTGCTGCTGCTGTGATTCTGCCAGTCGCTGCTTTTTTTGCCCAATCTTTCGGGAAAGCTGTAACAGGAAAAATACAAAAGCAAGTGTGCCTGCCTGAGTTTCTTTATCTGCAAAGTGGAGTGCCCAATGTGTCGGTCGTTTCGAGGCATAAACAGAATGCTCCAGCTAATACAGCCTCAGGGGCCTTGGAACATGGTGTGGGTAATGACAGGCTGTTAGCAGTGCCAGGGTGGGTGGGCATTCTTTGACCACAGCTGCTGTACATAGAAGAAACTAGAGTCAGGGGCAAACTGACCTGACTGCTTGCATATAAGAGTAACCAGGAACTGGGATAAAAAGTCTATGAGTCAGTAAGACACAGCAGGCCTTAGTCTACCAAAAACCGGGTAAACAAAGTAGGGACATCTGACTACATCCTTCAGCTATTTTGTGGTACAACAGAAGGGGGATGAAAGGAACAACCGGGCAGTGAACCTGGGGGCCAGGGCCAAGACCTGCTCTCAGCCCAAGCTGGGCTTCAGCTATGACTACGGCTCCGTGGCTGGTTAAAGAGCCATTACTTTTCTTTAAACAAAGTCCCATGTAGACCACGCTGGCCTTGAACTTCTGATCCTTCTGCTTCCATCCACTTCCCAAGCATTGGAAATACAGGCGTGCTCCACCACGCCCGGGTAAGACCCATTATTTTTATCTGCTGTGCTGACGTCCAGGTTGGACCGAGGCTGCCAGGCTGCCGGGAATGGATGCTGACGTGACCGTCTCTGCAGCCCGACCCACTGTGCCAGCTCGCCGTGGGCTCAGACTCCGCGACGCTGCGCCCCCTCTCACCGGCGCTGGCATCTGGCCGGCCTCACGACGTCCGGTCACTCGGGATCCTGCTCTGGCATTCCCCGGGCGGCGGGCTCGTCCAGGAAATAGAGGCTGATCGGTGTCAGGAGGCAGGGTCACGGACACCGGTTTCAGAGCGCCTCTGCCCAAGCCCGCACTCAGAACGGCCCGGCCGCGGGCGCGCATCTAGCTGCCTACAGGATGCACCCGGCCGCCGGAAGCGCGGGGAGGGCGGGGACAGAGCCTGCGCCTGCGCAGAAGGCTCACAGCGCGGGGGTGGGGCGAATGTGTGAAGAGGCGGAGCGAGGAGCCTAGGGGAGGGGCGAGGCGAGGCGAGTTGAGGAACTTTCTTTACCTTCACCTCTCTGGCAGGAACTCGGTTCCCCAGTCCGGTTCTATCCCAGTGGCCCGACTGCTGTCAATCCCGCCCCCGATCCTGGACTGAATTTTGGAGAGTCCCAGGCCGGAAGGCCTTGCTTTGCGACGGGCTGGGTCCCAGCGGGTCCTGTTGGTGCTGTGGAGAACAAACACGAGGTCCTGGAACCTCAGACCGAACTCTGATCCTGGAACTCTCCTTCGTCAACCTTACGGGGTGGGGTGGGGGCAGGGTTGGAACTGAACGGGAGTGGATGCCTGCCCCATCTGGAGGCCCCTGCCCTGGGGTCATCACAGCTGATAAGAGGAAGGATTTTCCTCGAAGGGGAAAATCACTGGATTGTTTAAGGGACAGGGGAAGCTGCTCCACTCCAGCTCCGTGGCACCCTACACCCAGCGGAGCCTCCTTCACCCTCTCCTACCGTTCTAGGGGGGATCTGGGTCGGTGGGTCTCTTGGCAGACACAGTCCTACTTTCCCCATTCACACTTTGCCCCCGCCTTGTCAAAACCCTTGAGGGCTTGTCAGAGCTGTCTTTGAATTCTTTGACCCTAGCATGGAAGTGCAACTAACTGGGTATGGGATGGGAGATGCTAGACAGGACAGAGGGACGGGCCATGTGTTTGTGACCCTTAGATGAGCAAGGCACTTAGCCCAAGGAAGGCTAGGCTGTCCATCAGGACTCTGATCCCCAACTGCTTCTCCACGGGCCAGCTCAGGCTGGGGCTCCGCCATCCCCTCTCACGGGCCTCAACCAGGACTTCCTGAGGAGGGAGGGGCGGCCTCTCTGCCTGGCTGCTGCCTGCTGGAAGTCATCCAGCTGTTTGTGGCACTCTGTGCCGTTTCCGGGGGTGGGGTAGGGGCAATATGTTGTAAATCTGAACTAATGAGATTGGCCTGGATGTGGCTTCCACCCCCTTCCTCCTTATCCCCTTCAGCCATTCCGTCCAAACAATGACTCCCTTCCGGTGGGAATAATGCCCCTTTCCAATCTAGGAGGGGAACTAAGCCCCTAGTTGGGTTCTTGTCCCCTGGTAAGGGCATTCTGTAGACTCCTAGAGTGCTATCCCATCCCCATCTTTGGGTGAATGACAAGCTCCTCTGTTTGGTGGGGAGCCTGGCTTCTGCCCCAGGAGGAGCTGGGGGTGGTTGCCAGCATCCTATTCTCCAGATGTTCTGGCCTGAGTGTGGGATTGCGCAATGTCTGCCCCCTCCTCCCCACTTCCTGGTTTGTGGTGTGAAGCTCCCGCTGCAGGCTGGAAGTGTGGGGTTGGGCTTCCCTGCTGTGTTTTGCCAGGAGTAAGAGAACGTCCAAGAGGAAGGAGCCTGGGACCTCTTCTGTTTCCAGTGTGTCTTACGGCTGGTTGGTAGCAAAGATGCCACTGGGAGATTCTTTGAAAGGGGTCAAGGCTGGGGTTGGCACTGGTGTGAGCTGTTTTGATCCCCCACAGGTTGTGGGGAGGTTGGAGCTGCTTCTAGCAGTGGTGGTCTGGGCTGCCAGTCCTTGCTAGCTGTATAGGCTACAGATGCCAGGTTTCAGTTTCACCATCCCAGGGTCCCGGCCCACTGGCTCAGTCTCCTTTCTAACATGGGAAAAGCAGGAGCTGGGTTGGAGCCAGTTGGCTCTTCCTCGATTGGAAACTCTCACCCTTCCAGCAGCTTCGCAGCAGAGTGGCTGCTGACATCCTGACAGACCTCAGGGGCTCTCTGTAATGGGGGGGCGGGCCGGAGCCTTTAGTGTTCCTTGGGCAGAGAGGGCAGCTGTTGGACAGGCCAAGGAGAGGTATGCTGTCAAGGCTGCTAGGCTCTTGGCCCAGGAGCTTCTAGGACCCCCTTGTCAAGTCCTGGACCATGGGGAGGGAGTTGCCTCAGAAATAGCTGGGGATTTCAGGCCTTTGGCTAGCCTGGCCCACGCTGCTTTCTCCCCAAATAGCCAGGGTCCTTGGTCCATCCCTCCATCTTCTCTCCCTCTAGGGCCTGGAGGCTAAGCTGAAGGTTCAGGCAGCTGTTGAGAGTCCTCGGGGATCCTTTGCACACAGGTGCTGGCTAGAGTACTCATAAGACCTGGAGTAGTGTAGATGCCTGTCCACCCTGATACCTGTTCATCAGCTTCCAGAGTGTTAGGGAACTGTAGCCGACTTCCTGTTTTGCCTAGTCCATGAAAGTATGAGAGAAGCCAGGGGCTGGGATTCCAAGTACTGGGCTCTTCCACCCAAAGCACAGGTCAATAGGACAGGCAGGAGGTACTGGGATTGGAGAGACTGGATTCAGACCTGACATATGTCCACACACCTCTGCTCACACTGTCCTCCTGCCCTTGCTCAGGAGGCCAGGGTGGGCTGTGTCTGGAGAATGCTGAACTCGTGTGCTGAGATGGGCATTTCTCTGCAGGGATCATGCTCTTGGGAACAGCACCTGTGGATGTGGCTGGAGGTGACAGGGTTTGTAAGAGGCCTGCGGCAGGCTCCCTCGGAGCGAGGGGATTGCAAGGCCTCTGGAGCAGTGAATCCTGGCAAGCCGTTTTTTTCTGTCACTGTGTACAGCAGCTTCTCTGCGGAATGACTGCCTCGAGGTGACTCCAGAGCTGCTCAGCATTTGAGAGTGCCTGCTGCTCTTGTGGAGGACAGGAGTTTGGTCCCCAGCACCCACTGCCGTTCACAACTGTCTGTAACTCCAGTTCCAGGGGGATCCGATGTCCCTTCTGGCATCTGTAGGCACCTACAGCCACATATGCAGAGTCATAAATAAACATAGAATAATTCTTTTTGTAAAAAAAAAGATAACTGGCCAGGCGGTGGTGGCACACACCTTTAATCCCAGCACTCGGGAGGCAGAGGCAGGCAGATCTCTGTGAGTTCGAGGCCACCCTGGGCTACAGTACAGAGTGAGTTCCAGGAGAGGTGAAAAGCTACACAGAGAAACCCTGTCTCGAAAAACCAAAACAAACAAACAAACAAACAAACAAACAAACAACAACAACAAAAAACTCCTGGAGTAGGGGGCATCTTTACTGTGAATCTCCTGTAGGGCTTCTTACAGCTGGGAATAGGTTTCTAGTTCTCAACATAGCTCTAGGTGGATCCCTAAAGCATCCATGGCAGGAGGAGGGATCTACAGACACCAGATGCCCAACTGTGCCCGGTTCCCGATTTTCCAGAAAGGACACCATCCGAGCTAGCCCAGTCTGGGCATCAAGACCCTGCTTATTCCTAGTAGGGGTCAAGAATGCTAGCTATGGAGACAGTCCCATCTCTGGCCTGGCATGTGTGGGCTACAGGAACCCAGAACATCTGCATTAGGACAACCTCCTTCTCCCTCAGCCTGCAGCCTCAGCTGAGGGCAAAGGAGCATTTTGTGTCCAGCTGACAGAGGAATGAGTTTCTGCACCAGAGGCGATGGTTGGGCTGAGGCAGAGGGAAGAGGAGAGTGGACATCCAAATGGACTGACGGAATGCTGCTGTCACTCTGCAAAATGGCTTAAGGGGTGGCAGGTGCAGTCTGGCCCTTGTACCTGCTGGGAAAGAAGTAGGGGAAGGGGTAATTGCCGGCCTGGGGTTGCTGTGACACCGTGTATGAGTGTTAGTGTGCACATGTGTAAATACATTAGGGCAAGAGTATGAGCCTATGAAAGGGATTTGAAGTGCATGTGTGCGCACGTGTCTGTGTAAACAGGTGTGTGTGGGGGGGTTGAATGCATGATTGTTTACTATGAAGGATCAGGAGTATGTGCACGAGGGAAGTGAGAGCTTCCGGAGCCTCAGTGATTTACCAGTGCCTGCCTTCCAAAGGGGCGTCCAACCTTTAGGTGCCTCCCACTCCCATTCCCTTGCTCTGGAGCTCCCCTCCCTCCCTTCCCAGGCAGTTAGGGGCAGCACAAGGGGAAAGCCAACCTAGGAGTCAGGGAAAGGCGAGCCCAGGACTGACGTTGATCATTGCAGTCACCGGCGAGCCCGACTCCCAGCCACAGGTGTCTCTGCCGGACGGCTGGCAGAGCGCAGCCGGCGGTCTTCCCGGAGGAGGCGCCCGGGGCGGGCGGCGCGCATTCCTCAGCCCTGAGTCAGGCG